AAAGCCTGCAAAAACGTGGCGTGAGACTCATGCACTTGCCAATGATTTGTACCCCGTCCGGAACAGCGATATAGTCATTACCATATGGTTTATTTCCAATGGTCAATTAAAGAAAACTTTTACAAGCGTAATTTACAAGTGAAACCATTGTTTTAAAGTCTTAACAATAGCTACATTATGTCTTGTAAATTAATAAAGTTTTATTAATTTGACCCCGGGTGTTGTCTTTACAGCCATTTGTCTTGACCCGCCTTATAGTTTCTAGCAAAATGGGATAAAAGAGGTTCTTTTAGGCGAGATTTTGCTTGGGAGGTGAAGGATCAAGACCAATCAGAAAAAGGGTTATTATAGGTGTAGAGTGCAATCTTCTCTTGGGAATTCGTAACAACCTTTCTGTTTCGTAACCCAATCTCGAAGTAAATCATAAGCGATTCAAACGAAATAATCTTGTTTTTTTTTTCAAACTGTTTTGCTTTGAGTTTTGAAAATTGTTTATTAAATGTAATAATTAATTGGAAGGGTTTTTCAAGTCCTTTTGACCGTTTGAATGCAAGGATTTTTTCTCATTTTATAACGTTTAAACTATTCGCTCGAAACAGGTCGTCCAGGACAGGTCGTATTCTACAGCTATTTCGAGAAAGGTTGTCGGGAAAAATGTGCACGCGACAATCCAGAGAGGTAATCAGTGGAATATGATCAATACATTGTTCCTGACGCTGTAGCTGTCGAAACTACTTTAGCACTCGCAAACATACGTCCATGGGCTCTCCTGCTATTCTTTCAAATTTCCTTGAAGAACGTGCCTAAGAGTGAATACAAAACCATCCACAATACCTTTCGGGATTGTAGCGTGCTCTTTTTCCGACAACCTTTCTCGAAATAGCTGTATACAAGTCAAAATGAGCGAAAGTTCCAGTTAACAACCGGTTAAAACGTACTTTTTTGCTGGCAGAAAGATCTTTCAGAAAGGTCAGAAAGACCTCAGTTTAAAACTAGGTAGATACTTATTCAGTCTACTTTGGTTTCAAACTGAACTAAATTATCCCTTAACATCTACTCAGCGTTTACTTTTGTGATGTGTTACATTTTTTTCTTGCAATGCTCCAAAAAGGGAATTTCTTTGATCAATTTTAGGGAGTACATTATATGGTCCATTTGCAGTTTGGGTAAAATTGGAAATGTTTGGTAGGCTGGTACGCCGGGTTTGACCACCCTGCAGCCGTGAATTATCATCGTCCTCATCAAGATCTATGGACCAGTGATGAAGCTTTACCCGCCAAGAAGATTGCTTTTCACGGGTCGATGTTAAGGATGCTCTTCGGTGCTTGGCAAACAGGTTAGAAGAAGCGTTTTGATTTGTCATATTTCGTTGTGCTCCCGTTGAAAATCTTCTTTGCTGGACCAAGTTTGAACTACCTGAAACCCGAGTAGAATTCGACGCCCTCCAACCGCTTCTCTCGGGAATTTCATTGATACAGTGTAATCCACTTCCCACAGCATCCTGAATGTGGCCCCTTGAGCGTCTGCGCGGTGCGGAAATCGTCTTAGTGGGAACGCTGTATTGAATGTCCACGGCAACAAGTTCTAAAGAGGGAAACGAATTCCGTCTTACTCGTTGCGAATACTGGCTAAATTCCCTTACCACATCCCCAGGTGTAAGTTCGCTCGAATTTCTACCACGTTTCTCTAAGTCTTCATTATCTACAACGCACTTAGACGTTTCACTTTCTCGTAGATTTGTTTGTTTTAACTTCATAGCGGAGAAAGTATCCCTCACTGTCTGGAATTCAGTGCTTGCTGCAGAGCCATGTGATGCAGGCTTGTTGATCGATGCATTGTTACAAATACACTCGGGTGGAACGGACGTTTTGGAGAAACTATCCATGAACGACTTTTCATACAATTTTCCAATCCAGTACATTAAGCTCTCCAACTCACCATCAAATGCGAGGCCTCAAAACTAAAACGTGCTTAGAGTCTTAGTTAAAATGCAAAATCAAGCGAGTTAATGACGTTTTGTGCCTGTTTCCTTTGGATCCTATAATATATCCTATGATAGTTTTGCTTTGTTCCTAGAGAGGGCTAATTACTAAGAAACGAGGTCAACCATATAAGAGTTGTCACAACAGAGGTCAGAATTCTTGTTCTTGTGTCCCTTTGGGATATGTTATTCTGCCTTTATTTTTGGATTGCATTCTTTGAATTTAGTTCCTCCTGGTTTTGTTTAGGAACAATTAGCAACATTTCTGGCCTCCTAAAAAAAAAAAAAAAAAACAAAGACAAAGACAACTTTTGTAGCTTTGCTTTGGTTCCTGAAGAAAGCTAATTACTAAGAAACGAGGTCACTCAAAAGGGTTGTCACAACAAAGGCAGAGCTCGATGAATGTTTGTGAGTCCCTCTGGGATATGTTGTTTTAACTTTCTGTATGAACTGCATACTTTGAATTTAGTCCCGCCTGTTCTTTTTTGAAACCATCAAGCAACATTTCCGGTCTCCTAACCTGTCCTAAAGAGAGACCATAATACACATTCAATTTACCGCTTAATTGTTCGTAAACTTTACTGATCACGAGGAAATTGAGGAATCAATTGTTATAATAGGTAGACCAGGCGTCAGGATAAACTAGCACCGCCATCTTAGCCCTTGGTACGAGTCAGAAATTTTTTTTTTCTTGCGAGCGGCAATATCGATGTTCCGAAATTGGAAACTACGCATGAAACGGCTCTGGCACCAGGGAACCCTACCTGGGAAGTAAGTGAATATAAAACGCTCTTCAAATGTGGTGTCATAGTGTTCTAATAGAACTTCGCTTCAGGTTTCTCCGATTAAGCATAAGTTCAGTGAACTCGAACATCGGATGTGAACGAAAACACTTTTAATTCGAATCACCCCCGCCCACATCATCGTACAGCCTTCTTAGCTGAAAAAGAATCTGTGGGATCCCCTGCAGCTATGTTATGCAGAATCGATAGCCGCCGATACAAAACGTAAATTATCTTCTAAACCAATTTATATAAACTGATTACCACGGCCAATTTTTCACCAGTAAATGGAGAGAGTTATGCTAGCCTGAGGGAAAACGTAATACACGCTGTGAGTGAATGAAGACCCACAACTACTTTCGTTGCCATTCAATGTGACCATTTGTTCATTAATTTTAAAGTTCGTCTAGTTTCTAAGCCACGAGTGAACTTCCTCGGCCAGTGGGTAGGATAGTAGTTCCTCGGGTCTGTCCAGCGAAATTTGAATTGATAGTGGGCAGACTGGTTCGTGGATTTTTTGAATTTCGGAGGGGCAAAGAATTATAAAGGTTACTTTCAAAGTCGTCGTCGATATTGAGAGACCTTTGATGGATCAATACACGCCACTTTGTAGAGCTGTTTTCGTTACACGTCAAGCAAGACGCTCTTCTTTGCTTCGTGCTAAAGGCAAAATTGGTGTTTGGAGATTTATTGCTTTTTGCTCCAACTGAAAACCGCCTTGTCCGTAACAAATTTGAGCTACCTCCGACATGACGAGATCCAAACGAATTAGTTAGCGTCCCTTTAGAGTGAACGGAATTCGCTTCTTTCTTTAAAAATTCATTATTTCTGTATACTTGCTCTCCGCTGTATCACTCGCCAAGGTCGAGGGGAAACCATACGATCTGGAATTTTTCTTAGAGGGGGGGATGCTGTATTGAATATCCACTGCAACAAGTCCAAGGGATGGCAGAGATTTGCGACGTTCTTTATGTGCAGACCTAGATACTGCCTTTGCCATATCTACTGAAGCAAACTCGCTTAAACTTTGTCGTCTTTGAACCAACTTTTTCGTATCTATACTTTCTTCAACAGACTTTGTCGTTTCTTCTTCTTGTCGTTTCGTTTCGTTTATTTTCATTCTGGAAAACGTGTCCAATGCGGCCTGAAATTCGGTGCTTCCCGAGCTTATAGACTGCTCCGATCCTGGTCTGGTGGTCCGTGTGTCAGGAATGATTCCTGACAGGCCAGGTCAGTGACCTTAAATGGATTAGGTGGTCTGAACCCTCGATAATCTGGATCCATGACACAAAATTCTTCATTAGGCCAATCGTCACAAGCATCGCTGAAAAAAGGTGCTTGATGTCAGTTATTTATAATATTTATCTTATATCGTTTTTATTCGATAAAGCGCCCAACCTCGAATAAGTGCCCACCCTTTAGGTAGGAAAAGTTTACAAGAGCCCAGCCTCCAATAATTATTCTAAAAAAATTTTAGAATAAACCCGAGGCTGAAATTTTCAAAAGGATAATTTTGTGTGCTGAAAATTTGTAAATGCAACACAATTCCATGTTTTCAACTTCTTCCTTTTTCTAAACGGCAAAACTAGCCAACAAAACGTAAAAACCTGCAGTAACTATAATTGATACCCCAATACATTCTACTGAAAACGGAAATGTCATATGCTATAATGTAAGAATAACGCAAGAATATTTTCAGCCTAAAATCGGCAAAAAATTCAGCTTGAACTTAAATAAAATACAATGAATTTAAATCCTGTTACTATAACTGAGACTATGGTTACATGGCCTTCTATTTAAAAAGCAGCAATAATTTACAGTCTGACAGGCTTTCGCCTCGCTTCCACGCCAAAACCTTACCCTCGATCCTCGCTATCTTTGTCCGCGCTTTTAAAGGATTGATGGAAAAAAAGCTATGTCACATGGTATTAAGGGGGGCATTAACAAGCGGCAAAATTTGCCATTACGAGAAATCGCGGTTGAAGGGAAAGAGATATTATACGGAGGAGATAAACTAAATACACGCTCTGGGTGAATTGAGTGGCACAACTACCGGTACTTTCGTTAGTGATTTTACTTGAACCGCGAAACAAATGCTAACAAATAGTGCAAATTAACGAGAGGTAAACAAAAGAAGAGAATGCAATTAGTGTATAATAGTGCGTAGTATTCACCACCTATTTCACGGTTCAATTAAAATCACTTTATAATTCAATGTGACCATTTGTTAATTATTTTCACAGTTCGTCTAGTTTCTTTGCCACGAGTGAATTTCGTTGGCCAACTTTCGGTAAGATAGTACTTCTACCAGTCTGTCCAGCGAAATTTGAATTGATATTGGGTAGACTGGTTCGTCGATTTCTTAAAGTCCGATGGAGAAAAGGGTTATAAAGGTAACCGTCACAGTCGTCGTCGTCAATATTTAGAGACCTTTGATGAATAGATACGCGCCACTTTGTAGAGTCTTTTTCGTTACACGTCGAGCAAGAAGCTCTTCTTTGCTTCGTGCTAAAGGCAATATTAGAGTTTGGAGCTTTGATACCCTGAGCTCCCACTGAAAACCGCCTTCTTGGTAACACATTTGAGCTACCTCCGACACAAAGAGGGTAAAGCGATTTAGTCACCTTCCTTTTAGAGTGAACGGGATTCGATTCAGTCTTAAAAATTTCATTAATTCTGTATAACTTGCTCTCCGCTGTATCACACCCGAAATTCTCAGGGCAGCCATACGATCTGGAATTCTTCTTAGAGGGAATGCTGTATTGAATATCCACTGCAACAAGTCCGAGTGATGGCAAAGATTTGCGACGTCCTCTATGCGCAGGCGTGGATACTCCCATTGCCAGATCTACGGGAGCAAGTTCGCTTAAACTCGGTCTTCTTTGAACCAATTTTTCAACAGTTTCATCTTCAGCACAGTTTTTCGTTTCCTTTTCTTGTGCTTCCATTTTGCTTATTTTCATGGCGGAAAACTCCTCCAATGCGACCAGAAATTCGCTGCTTCTCGAACTTAGAGAATTCTCCGTTCCAGGTCTGCTGGTCCGCCTGTCGTGACTAATTCCTGACAGGTCGCTGACCTTAAGAGGATTAGATGCTCTAAAACCCCGATAATCCGGATCCATAGGCCACCCGTCACAAGCATCACTGAAAAAAGGAATTTAAAGGCAGTTAATTTTCGCATACACTTCTCCGCTGTTTCCGCGTTTGTTTTGAACAGATTATAGACTGACTGTCTGTGGTTTGGTACGTCCGTGTAATGTTTTCCACCACCACGCGGGGTACATCTATTTAGCATTTGAACAATTTCTCTGGACTACTTTTTATAGACCCTAGAAATGACTCAAGAAGTCAAGTGGAACATTTTGACGTCTTTTTTAATGGTTTATTGAATAGACAATGGAAAGCTATAAGAGTGTAGAACATGGAAAATTGTCTCGGTTTTTTAATGGTTGTTTTTGCCTGTTTGTTTGTTTGAAAGCTTTGAACGCCCACTTCTGGAGAATTTTTTTGAAAACTCTGGCGTTAGAGGAGATAATTGAGAAATCGCCCAGTCATTGTAGAGTAGTTATGGTCAAAATTGCAACCGAGTATGTGAAACTGGCTAAAATAGCGAGGGAAGAAAAAAAATTCTAAAAAGTGCTTTCCTGCAGTTTCAAACGGCTCCTTTTGAATTTGGCAGCCGAGTACGATCTTAATCATCGTCTGTTAGTACCATGCAAAATGGAAAAAAAAAAATTTGACCACAATTTCCCCAGCCGTCCTTGTAATTGTTAGCACTCACCTTCCTCTCCCTCCATACGATAACGGCATATCCGAGAAACTTAACACTGTCCTACAAGGAATATTTGCAAACCAACAGTTACTCCTTCAGCTCGTTATAATTCTTGTTAAAGCTTATGGACGCATTTCCTATTGCAAAACAAGTATCTGCAGTGAACCAGTGATTAAAGGCGTTATCTCGGTCGCTTATAAGCAGTATTTGGCAAACGGATAGGTTATGGCTTATGAAGTTCTTGAAGTAAAGAAAAAAAAGAGCGTCGGACAAACGCACTCATTCTGAGCGTAGTATGGCATTTCGTGCCGGGTATGAATTGACCAGGCCTCATTTGCTCAAAAGGTAGTCAGTGCTAGCTACTGGATGGATAACACAATTGGTTCCCCTTGCATTCATCCCCTGGATAGTGATTTACCCGATGGATAACGCTCTCCAGGTTTTGAACAACTGGGGTTTCCATCTGATTCGTTAGAATTTCCAAGAAGCGTTCCTCAGACGCGCCCTCGGCGCTCTAGCGGTCGACTTGAGGCAAATCCATCAGTGAATTTCATAACATGTAATTTAAGATTGTGCACCAGTTACAAATCTCACTGGGCAAATGTGTAAAAAGGAAAAAATTCTTTAATGACTCACCAGAACGACTTTAACAATAAAACTTGATGTTTCTTTAACGCTCTTTGTCGGGTAAGGCTGTTAGCTGAACGTTACTCCACAGCTAAAACTCACTGAGTTTACTTTACGGTACCGTATTGTTTATATGGTGTGTCTGTGGCGCAATCCTTTGTTAATCGTAACAAAAGAACTGACCTTAATTGTCTTCAGCAAATAGAGTATATTGGATCCGGATATAACAAAAAAGGGCAAATGATGAAAATAAAAAAGGTCTCACATTAAGCAGCATCAGTGTAATAGGATTAAAAACGTGACTATATTGAAATCATGGGGACTATTGATAAAATAGTTAGTCACGGTACCTCTCATCAACATCAAACTTAAAGTTTCCCCGCGCGAATAAGGACTTTAAAAAGTTCACACTTTAGGTATCTAAACAATATCTTACCTTCCCACCCCCTTGATATTGAGTGAATAGTTTGTTAAAATCTGTAAAATGTTTATGGTGTTTAGCGATGTTTAATATTCCAAGGCCACCAAAACCACTATATGATTTCGGTTTTGGTCAATTGAGATCTTGGCTTTTTTCTCCAAGGAGGTTACCCTTTGATTGTTTTGTTAAAATCTAAAATTTTTTCCCAATATAGGAAATTATGTTTAGGGATGTTTTGGAGAACTGACAGTTCCTCCTTGACCGTTTCATACCAAGGCTTCGATTTTGATACAAGATCAAGTGCCGCTTATAACCAATGAGTACGGTTTACTCACACATTAGCGAATAACATTCGTCAAAGGACATGTGTTACCGCATCATTGAGCCGTGTACCTTCCGTCATAAAAGGTGTAAACGAAAATTAAAATGTTGGACACTCACATGAAACTGCATGGAGGCCCAACAGTCAAATCCAAGCGGCACTCTTGGATTCTAGATTCTACGCCGTGGATTCTGAACTCTGGGTTCCGGATTCTTTGTCAGTGAAAATTGGGGTCCGGATTTCAATCGTTAGCGGGATTCCGGATTTCTTGCGCTTTATTCTGGGTTCCAAAGCCCAGGATTCTGGATTAGAAAAGGAAACTTTGCCGGTGTCCTCATTCCACAAGCAAAAATTTCCCACATTCCGGAATCCACATTCCCTTACATGGGACGAAATCCACAACAGTCCTGAATTCTTGATTCCACTCTGTGAATTCCGGGCTCTGGATTCCTTGCTGGATTACTGATTCCAAAGCCTAGGATTCCGGATTTCGCGAGCAAAAATTTCCCGCATTCCGAAGTCCACATGCCGAGATTTCTCAGTGTCGAAACGACTATAGTTTCGTTTTCAAACACCACTTATTATGTCAGAGATTCGAATGTTTGATTTGGTGGATGGTTTGATTCAATACAAAAGCTATTGATGTTCACGACTTGCTGTCGCCAATTACTTAAATAAATATAATAGCAATCTCACTGTCTTTTTGTTGAAAAGCTTGAGTGGATTAGCTTAGGACGTAATGACCCGTGAAATTAGTTAGCTTTTCTTTCTGATAAGATTAAGAGCAAAATTTAGTTATGTCTAGTCTAATTTTAAATTTCATTTTTGCTTTAAATCTCAAATGTAGAAATGCTAACAAAACTCAAGGCCAACAGACAAGGTTTACAGACACTTTATGATTGAAAAGAGCGTTGTTTTTAAGTACTCAGAAGGTCGTTATTCACAAATACGTATACTAACATCACAAACAAAAGATCCAAATGTAGTGGAATATAAAACAAATAAGTTCATTAACGGAGAATATAGTAATGGGGGTGTCCGCGTGTGCTTGAATCGAAACAAAAGTCGCACAGCCACGAGTAGTTCTCTGATTCTGTTTAAATTGAGTTACTCGGAAGCTTTTTAAAAGCCTTTCCACTTTAGGAATTTAAATGAACTGCATTAGAACACCAATCTAGAAACCCTGTAAAACGGATAACCCGGTGAAACGAAAAATTCTTCGCCCCCAGTTATAGAAAAATGTACAGAACAGGACCTCGATTTATACAACGTACCCCTGTTACACTGTGAACAGTTTTCCCGCGCCATAGCATTTTATAATAATCGGGGCTACAGTGTACTAGAAGTACTGTAATCCTATTTTGGATCGACCATTAATTAAGAGATTTCAGACGCATTTAACTTAATTACAGTAACTTTGTTTGAGCTCAATCTTATCTGAGTATATCTCTGAGTTTTGGTAGCTTTTCATTTTTCAAGTTCCAGCTTGTTGCAACCCCTTTCCTTCGCTTTTGATGACTGACTTGTAATTGATCATGCCTCGCTGAAGGTTTTCCTTTCGTTAATGTCACGGGGACATTGAAAACAATATTCTCAACCTTAGAATGTCTTTTCACCGCTCCTGCATCGCTGTTTTCATTTTTCGCTCCCTTCTTAGCTAGCTTTTTATTTCGCAACGTTCGCTTAGAGGACGAATCTTTAATCCTTGGAAAACCAATCACCCAGTTATGAAACTGCGATTCCCTCGAAATAGACCTTTTCATAATCTGTGGTACATTCGCGTCAGTGCAAGTTATCGAGGGAAATGTGTCCGCTGATCTCTCAGTACTAAAAGACCGAAGTAATTTCTGTTTATCTCTAACAGATAATCCTTGAAACGTTTTCTCCCTACTGACCAGACGAGGAAGCTGGTTAAACTGTGACTTATTTCTGGCTTCTCTGGCAAACCGTTTTCTGTCCCTGTTTAAGTTGAACAAATCTTCTTGCACCTTTCGCTTTTTAGTCTTGAGGTCGATGTTACTTTGTATTCGTTCCTTCTCAATTTCTCGTTCAGCGACAGCAAGAGACTTAATTCGTTCTTGAAAAATTGTAAGGGCTTTATCGTGAACAGATTGGTGGCCTCTTGATTTGGATGCGTGCCATTCCATATTTTAACCCAATGATGAAATCTTGTCACAGCAACAAAAAACCCGAATTTAGCAATGGTCACGTGACTGATGACGTCATCACCCTAGATGTGACATGAGAAGATATTTTATGGCAAATGTTATCTTGTTGTGGTCTGACATTCTTCTACATATAAAATTGTCTAAGTTATAAAGCTTTCAAAAAAATTGCCTCAAAGGATTCTGGGATAGTTTTTATGATAATTATAATTTACTTTTATAATTATAAACGCTTTCAGTGCTACTAATTGCTTCCTACACTCTACTAGAACCGGGGCTATTCCTTGGTCCTAAGGTGCTAGGGGACAGAAACCTTCTCAGTATGTTACTGGCTCCAGGGATCTTTCCTAAATTCTGGTCCATTCCCTTTCTAATAAGTCCCTGCGCACCAACAATAACCAGCACAGTCTTTGTCCTCATTCCCCACATTCTTGAGGTTTCAATCCCAAGATCTTTGTATTTTGAGAGCTTCTCAACGACTTTCGTCATTATTATTATTATTATTATCATTATTATTATTATTATTATTATTATTATTATTATTATTATTATTATTATTATTACTGTTATTATTATTTTAATTGACATGGCGTCTTATTTTAGGTGTCAGAGAACGAGTTTGCTAGCCGGTAGTTTTGAAATAGTAAGCTCGTGAACATTGGAGAACAATGGGAAGTTCATGGGCAGTCTGCTTGAAAGCATAGTTTTTCGTTTATATCCGCCCTATTTCTTAAATATCTAGCCAAGACTTCATTCAGTCAAAAAAAAGACTCGGTTAAGTTGGATTCCTCGGTTCAATAATCCTTGTGAGTATTTTTGGATGACTTTTCGAATGTGTTAAATGTATAAAAAAAAAAAAATAGGGAGGGTGGGGATGTTGAATAATCGTAGACAAATACCAGATAGTCAACCACCACAACAAGTTGGCTCTAGGACCATTAGCGGACTTACTGGTTTATTGATTTATTGGGATACCTTTTCTACCCTACTATATTTACTTCCCAAATCAACACCATTTCCTCCCCCAAAAAACAACCAGACTACTCCCTTAATGCAACTACTGCTGGAAAGTAATGTTATTGTCAACTCCAACAGAGTAGTCTAAAATCAGATCAAATTAAATCTTTTTTCTTTTCAGTTCGAAACAAACGCATGGTGGCCCTAGATACGGACAAAGTTGATCACTGCTGGAAAAAATCGCTTCTACTGACATCATCGTTACAGCTGAATCAGAGCGACGCACTTTAACCAGAAGTGAGAGTGTTTCTTTTATAATAGGCCATGTCGCTTCCAATGATGCAGACTGTTCAACCTTTTGAGTATGTAAAATCTGGATATTTTTAAATCACTGAGGAATCACTTCAGTTTAAAGCTTACTTTTATTTTTGCTGGGCGTCGCTAGTATCGCGATCGATTTTATTTTATATTACGAGCGCTTTTTTTTTCTGTTAGGTGTCTTTGTATAAGACAAGTGTCATAAATATCAGAACAGATGTAAAAATC